GCAGGCAGAGCTTTGTCTACCCAGGATGCTTTTGCTCTGAACAGGGTGTTTCTTTTCTCTAAGCTTTCTGGCATGCTTGCTCAGAAAGAGCTGTGGGCTACAGTTGACATCACCTAGTAGAGGTGGCAGGAACACCATTTACATAAGTTAGTGGATAAGGATAAGTAGAAAACTCAGAATATGAGGTTGAAGAGAAAAACATGCTGAAACAGCAATATCTTCCTAGTATACAGTGTATTCTCCTAAGAGGTGTTAAATAAATGCAAAAATAGTGTCTGTAGCTATAGGAATTTCATACTTGCTCATATTCTCTTAACATTTGCTCATATCTCAATATTTCTAACAACTAATACAGTTGGTACATGTAAATCTCCCCCCTCCACTAGATTTGAGAACCTACACTCTCAGAATCCTGGACTTGGTTGAATTTAAATAACTGGGCATTTTCAGTATGTATGCCAACCCATAAAATAGATACTAATAATGTTAATTTATACAAGTATACATATTTTGAGTTAATGACTCAAAGATTTTAACAAGTGGGAACATGTGACCTCTCACTGAAATGTCAAATGTATATATATTAATTTTCTTCTGCTGAACCAAACTGGGGAAAAAATGTCTCAAAAATTTGCCAAGGAAAAGAAACTTGTGCCTTTCCGGGTTAACTCAGCTAATGTAGAAAACTCCAAGTAACACGGCATGCTAATTTTAATTAACATAAATCATAAATTATGATGTAGTGGTTGTATTTGAATTTCCATTATTCTAAGCAGATCAGAAAACTGTATGACTCAATTATTTTAAGAAAACTCATGGATTTGGTACATGTGAGCTTGATAATTCTATTTTTATAACCAATGGAGCCAACTGTTTGATACCAGAAAATAACTTTGTACAGAGCTGTTGATTTAAAATTCAAAAAGTGTATGTGGGAAAATAACTGTGTAGATCTTTTAATTAGACTGAAAGTAAATTATATTTTAATCAATAATGACAGCTAAATTAAGTTTAGAAACACAAATGAAGAAAAAGGACAAGCTATCCTTGCATCTTCCTCAGCTTATTCTGTTTCTCCCATCTCAATAACTGATGTTATGGTCTGAGTGTTTCATGTTACCCACATTTCACATGTTGAACCCCCCAATGTGACAGCATCTGGAGGTGGAAATGTTTGGGAGGTGATTAGTGTCCTTATAAAAGATCTCAGAGATCCTTTACCCCTCTGCCTATGAAGAAAGCAAAAGATGTGCCTGTATGAAATAGAAAGAGTGGTCTCATCAGACACCAAATTTGCAACACCCTGATCATGAAATTCCTAGGCTTCAGATCCATGAGAAATAAATTTGAATTTAAAGCCACCCAGTCTATATTTTTGTTATAGCAGCCCCAACAGACTTACACAAATGGTAATTCTTAACAGTAGTTAAAGATAAAAACATGCATGATACCTGATGCTTCCCTTTTACATTCAAACCTTGAGTATATTTTCTTGGCTCTATCTCTAGAATATACCTAGAGTGTGCCAGTTCTTACCAGTATCACTGCTCACACTCATCTTTGCTAGTCTGGATCATTACAACAGTATTTAGTATGAAAGTGTTTATTCCTTCAGTTTTTTATCCATCCATCCATTAGATACAACCACAAATGGAACCACCATCTATATCAGGTAGTGTTTTGGGTACTTCAGTCACAGGGACTTACTCTTATGGTCTTTACAAAAGGATCAGGATGTGTACAATGTCCCAGGACATAACAGTAATTACACTAAACAGAATCAATAGACTAGGTAAGGAAGCATTTTCCTAATTCAATAAAAACATTTAATTATTCAAAACTGAAATAATTTGTTATTTTGATTAGTTGTATACTAATAGTAATAATTATAACAACCAATAAAAACTTTCGCACCTAAAACCACAGTACATAAGAGGATTCCATAAGTCAGGGTTTCTCAACAGCACATGATGACATTTGGGGTGGTTATTTCCATGTTGTGGGGGTTGTTTTGTGCAGTGAACCATGTTTTGCAGCATTACTAGCTTCCTTCTGTGAGACATCAGTGAAACCCTGCTCCCCATTTATGATACCAAAAATATCTCCAGCCAGTATAACACAAAATTTCAACTCAAAAAACAGATGATGATTCGTATTAAGTACTGGATTCCAATTAATTCTACTGGATACATGTCAAGCAGTGATAGTTAGTATAAAATGATAATTTACAATACACTGGAAATTACATTATTTGCCGTTATTTAAAATCATGGTCAAGAACTCTGAATAATTGTTTATGATCCATTAGTCCAAAGCGTCCTTAGTTTATAGGAAAGGTGAAGGATGTACATTTAAACTCACTCACTGATCTTTTCTCAATCCCTACTATGGTACATTAGAACAATGAGTTTATCTCACATGCTTTTAAGGCACCTCCCCCCCTTACTATCTTGACAAACATCCAGAAAAATTAACTGAAAAGAGCATCAGAGCTTTTTAAGTAAATACTAGGTGCAAAGCAAGCATTTTCAAAATTAAAACTGTATAGATTAGTATCCTTTTTTAACTTTCACCCTTTAAATGATATTATACAATTTGAAGGCATAATCCACAGCAGTTTATAAACTCCACAGTTCTTTTCCATAGAGAGAAGCATTGCCTCTTTAATCCTCTTACTAGACACCAAAATAGTCTCCAATTCCCTCAGGACTGTTTACTGGCAAGAATGCCAATCATTAGTTCTAACTATGAATATAAAAACTTCTGTGGTTTTTCTATAGTTTTAAAGCAATTCCATACATACTATCTAGTATTATTAATCAAACAGATCTATGAAGCTAGTAGAAAGAGAACAAATATGCAGTTTAGTGATAACTTGCCTATTTTACAATTCAGCAGCAGCAGCAGAGGTCAGGTATCAAGACCAATGACACCAAACTCTTTATAGAGGAAATTCATTTGAGCTTTAGCAGGTTGACTGCATTGTATGGGGTTTGGGGATGCTTGAGGGAATTTAAATCCCTGCCAAAAGCAACATACAGAGCTCAGTTACAGCTGCAAAACTTCTCATTTTGTACAAGGCTTTTAAAGGCCACAATTTCCAAGTTGCATATAATATTAACAGGTAAAAACCAATCTTTGTTGCACGTATTTATTAAGCTGCCTAAAGATTTTTTTCAAAGTATGAATTCTTACATCACAAAAGACAAAAACATAAATCTCACCAATATTTTTCGAGAAAGGACGACTGTTACAAACAATACAGATAATTCAGACAAATAAATTTGTTATCCCAGCATTGTCTCTGTAAAGAGTCTATCCATACATGCTAGTTACTATAATCTTCCTAATTTTTCAACCCCTAAAATTAATTCAGTAAAGACATAAGGATAGTTAATAAGCAATCAGATATTACCTACCCATCAACTAACAATCACTTCTCATTTTAATTATTCTAGAGCTACAATTAAAAAGCATTACGATTTAATACATATTCGCAGGTACTGCTGAAGGGCCCTGTCCCCTACTCCAGCAGAGCTCCGCCGTCGTTTCGCAGTCGGTGAGCGTCGGAGCCCGCCGGATGGAGCAGCAGGCGGCTCCGCGTCCCCAAGGCTACCGCCGCGGAACTCGTCGCAGCCCGCCCGGCAGGCCCGAGCTGGGCAGCCGCCCGTTCCTCCTGGACCCTTCGGACGGAGCAGGGAAATCGCTTGGCCCAGTAGCAGGAAAGGGTTTCCACCGGCCGGCTGGGGAAGCAGGCGGGGGGCCTGGGAAAGCCGGCCCCTCCTCGCCTTTCCTCGGCGGCTAGGGCGGCCCTTCCCGAGACACCAGGCCGCGTCGGTTCCCCTTCATCCTATTTTCCCTTAAATAAAGCATCTCGAGGACTTCGTTCTTCTCGTGCACACTCAGGAAAATCTAAAATGCCTTCATAGAAGAGACGCCAAATACGCAGTTCCTAACCAGTCCACCCCGACTCACGCCCCGCCCCCGCCGCTGGGCGCGGGAGCTCTGGCCCGCGCTCCCCGACTCGCCCCGCCTCCGGGCGCGCGCCCCACCGTATAAGGCCGGAGAGAAGGCCGCCCCGCCCACTCAGGACTCGCTCACAGATGCTCCGCCCCCGCGCCGTCCCGAGGGAAGGGGGCTGCAGTTGGCTTTTCCAGTTCTTTTCTTTTCTTCCCCTCTCCCAAGACAGATCCTTCCTTCACCCAGTGGCAATGGGCAAGACCCCATAAAGCTCGACAATCACAAAAGACGAACTACTACTAAGTCTCCTCCAGAGCTTGCGAGTTTATCCCTCCCTCGAACGCTGGAGCTCCGCCCTTACTGAGCCTCCCCACAGCCGCCCCCACAAGCCCGCGCTTACGCTTTCTGGGCAGCGCGCGTCGCGCTCGCTCCGCCTTGCCGGCCCCGCCCCCGGCCCCCCGTCGCTCTCTCTGGAGAGTCCGCGAGTACGAGCAGGGGCGTGCGGCGTCAAGGACGCGCGGGCGCTTCATCCTTCCCACCTTCCTACACTGTTGCTACTTTTGGGTGTGAGACATCTCAGCTCCTCTTCCCCTTGCGTGAGTTCCTCCTCTCCTTTCTTCACGGACGCTCGCTTGCTCGCAACCGGCTGACCGGCGCCGCCGCAGCTCTCCCGCCCGGAGCGGGCAGTGCGCGTGCGCGCGGCCGCGCGCGCGTGGCCGTCGGGTCCCCGCGCTCCCTCCCCCTCCCGCTCCTCTATAACTTGGCTGGCGAGGGGGAGGTGCCGCCGGAGTCGGAGGGCGGGGAGCTCGGAGGAGGGAGCTCGAGAGTTGTGGAGACTAGTGACTGGGAGAAGTCGCAGCCTGTTCGGGTCGGCTCCTTCCCGCTCCCAGTCTCCCTCTCTCACACACCTACTCCGCCTCCCGTCCCGGCCGGCGCCCTCGCGCCTTCTCCCGCTCGGGGTCCCTGCGGTCGCTCTCTGTGCCGCGGCGCGGTGGGGGCGCCCCCGGGTGCCCTCGCCCTCCCGGTCGCGGGCGGGCGGGATGTGGCGCCTGGTGCCCCCGAAGCTGGGCCGCCTGTCCCGCTCGCTGAAGCTGGCGGCGCTGGGCAGCCTGTTGGTGCTGATGGTGCTGCACTCGCCGTCGCTGCTCGCCTCCTGGCAGCGCAACGAGCTGACCGACCGGCGCTTCCTGCAGCTCAATAAGTGCCCGGCGTGCTTCGGCACGAGCTGGTGCCGTCGCTTCCTCAACGGGCAGGTGGTGTTCGAAGCGTGGGGCCGCTTGCGCCTGCTGGACTTCCTCAACGTGAAGAACGTCTACTTCGCGCAGTACGGCGAGCCCCGCGAGGGCGGCCGCCGCCGAGTGGTGCTCAAGCGCCTCGGCTCGCAGCGCGAGCTGGCGCAGCTCGACCAGAGCATCTGCAAGCGGGCCACCGGCCGGCCCCGCTGCGACCTGCTCCAGGCCATGCCGCGCACCGAGTTCGCGCGCCTCAACGGCGACGTGCGCCTGCTCACGCCCGAGGCGGTAGAGGGCTGGTCGGACCTGGTGCACTGCCCCTCGCAGCGCCTACTTGACCGCCTGGTGCGCCGCTACGCCGAGACCAAGGACTCGGGTAGCTTCCTGCTCCGCAACCTCAAGGACTCGGAGCGCATGCAGCTGCTGCTGACCCTGGCCTTCAACCCCGAGCCGCTGGTGCTACAGGTAGGCGCGGGGCTGGGCGGGGGGCGTCCTGCCGAGCGGCGGCGGGCGTGGGAAGGGGCGGCGCCCGGTGCGGAGGGCGACCTGCTGATGGAGAGGCTGCGCCTGTCACCCGCACTCGAGAGCATCTCTGATTCGTCTGCGGATCCTTCAACGCCAGAGGGAGTGCGTCTCGCACGCTCCCAAAAATGTCTCTCCAGCGAGTTCCCTTCCGCCGCCCTCCCGGCCTTTCTGCTTTCATTTGCCGGGCTATGGGTCCACCGCGCCCCGCGACCCAGCCCTGGAGCTTGCAGTTCTTCCCGCGTGGTTTTGTGCCACTCTCGCGCTGCCCTTCGCCGTCCCCTCTGGCCGCCTAACTTCGGCCCCGGAGTCTTTGTTTTACTTCAGTTCATTTACCTGGCAGTCTTTCAAAAAAGCCCATTGGGGACGATGAGGTCAGAGAGTGGGACAGTGGTCCGCGACGGGGTTAATCCAGGAGTCCTGCTTTGGGCGGGAGTAGATCTGAGATGACATTTTCATCGTGATCTGTGACCTGCCCAGTTCATCTGCTAATCAGCTTGAAAGGAGATGAAATGTTAGGCCGGCGAGAAATGGAGAAGGAGGTTCTGGCGTCTTACCTTATTCTTTGCTTCCTTCTGACTTTGTTTTGGAAGTAAATGGCCCTTTTAAGGTAGTAGGATGGAATCTTTTTACTGGTGACAGCAAAGAAAAGAAATGTTTGCCTTTGGAGTAGTGGAGTTACTGCACACTCCCGGCTGTAGGCTGTAATGTGTCCTTGGATGGTGATTACAGCTGTGGGGTTGTGATCCCTCTTTGGTAACTCAGGAAAAGTTACTGTGCCCCCCTTTCATGCCAGTTTTGCTGTATTTCAAATAGAAAAGGGGAAAAGTGACTCAAAATTAATCAAGTAATTTTGGTTACTTGTATAGTATAGTTCGATGCCCTTTCTGTTCTGCCAAGAATGTCACTAATGGCTGGAGGATTTGTAAAGAGTGTCTTTTTTTTTTTTTTTTTAATCTAAAATGCATTACTAGGAATGTGCAGTATTTATTTAAATTGTTTTCTTTTCTCAAATTCTCCACTGTTCATCTTAGCTAAAATTAACCAGTTTTGTTCACTCAGTTTGACCAAATAATCATAACAGATGTTTTGCCTCAAATTAAGTGTAGTCAATTTTAAGCTTAATCAATTTTAAGGTGTCATGGGACATATGTAATATTTTTAAAGTTCAGATTGCATATAATGGTGCTGTGTCTTTGAACAGTGAATGATGTTATAAGGCTAGATAAACTTTCTTGAAGAAATTTACTTCAGGCTGTAGTTCAAGAACTAGCCAGTCTTCCTAAGGTTGAGCCCATATTTATGACATATATTGACACTTGAATTTTATTTTTATTTAAATATCTTTTCAATTTAAGAAATATAAATCTGTTTTATCTCTGCAAGGTTATTCCATTGAAAAGCTTTAGCAGTGTAGTTTGCTGAAGTAGATAGTCTGTCAAAAACTGGGACCCCACAGTTTAGTAAAGAACTATCTTAGTAATATATTTCCTGCATTTAAAATACTGGCTGCCTATTGAAAGATTTCTGTCAGGTAGTTCTGAGTATTGATGTATTAGGAACAAGTAATATTAGGACTAATATTTTAAAACCTATCAAGTTCTTTATAACCATAAACTTAGTCATGATATCCGAGTTTGAGAAACTCTAGTATGTGATCTATACTGTTAAATCTGCTTTATCCAGGAAGCTTTTATGTTTTGTTGGAAGTTGTTTTGGCATTTTCAGTTGGCTTTACACTTGACGATTATGTGTTATTTACATCTTTTGCAATGAACAGCATTTTCAAAAATCACAATTATTTTCTTATTGAAAACTTCGTAACACAATTGCTCTGAGTGAATAGTTTGTAGTATGTGAGAAAATATGTGTCAAATTTGTAGACTGTTACATTTGTAAATTGCATTTTTAATTTAGACATTCCAGTTTTCAGGAATGGTACTAATACCACAGAGCCAATTGCATACCATGGAATACATATTTTGGAGTCTTTACCAATCAATCATATTGACATGTTAATTTTTTCTTAACCTGTTAAAGAAGAATAAGACTTTTTAAAATAAGAGACCTTCATTGAGCTGTTTCTTTCCTTAGAATCCCTTAATCTTTGGTAAAAGTCAGTTCAGAAGTATAAGCAATATAATTGAGGATTGATGATAGTATAAAATACTAAAATGAAAAGAATCTCAAAATTGTTCTGAAGTACAAAATTTTATACTGTAAGCCAAACCATGAGGTTAATTAACTTTTTGTTAACTAGGAAAACACAATACATTTTTTAGTATATATAAGTTTCTATAAAACTATAGTTTCTTATGGTATGTTAGGATATTAATTCTGATAGGAAAAATCACTCAAATTTGGCTCTCTACTGAAATACATTTTCTGCTTCATGTACTTTTAAATAAAGGGTACCAGTGTGTATTTTACAGCTTAAAGAAGAACTCACTTTTTTTTTTTTTTTTCCAGGAGAGGGAGCTACTTAATGAATTTTTGGACAGTTTGTGACAAACTAGATTTTTCTTGTATTCTATTGTCCAAAAATTATCTAGTTTGGAAATTAATTCTGAACTAACTTCTCAAATTATTCTTATTGAAATTGTTTATAGTAAATATGCTTCCAGGCCTACATTTGAAAATCTCTTGACATGATACTAAAGAAAGAACCTAAGAATACGTACTAACTTAGCCCATTCTCCTCTTCTGATTTTAAGAAACAATAAAAAATTAAAGTTTCTATTGTGCCTGGAAGGAGCTGTGAAAGGTATTATCTGTGTGATTTTGTGCAAGGCTGTATAGATTTGTAATATAAATTTCCCAGTGTGAAGGAAGCGGTATGGATGTACACTTTTTTCTTATTATTGGATGGTTTTAATAGTTTATAGCAGCTTATAGACTTATTGTCTTAGGAATGTTTTTCTGACATAGAATTGCCTTCCGAAAAAATTTTTATAAACTTCAAGCAACAAGATAATGCTAGTAGTGCCTTAATCTTCTATTGGGATACCTTCTTTTTGTCTTCACATTTTTTTCCACTTCACCAAGAGGTATATTTTAATGCCAAGTATGCTATAGTCTTACAGCAGAAGAAGAGCATTGTTGATTTTTGTATTGTGTAATAGCAGTCTTGGAATATTAAAAAATTGAGGTGTCATGGTAATTGGCAAGATGACAAGTTATTTTGTTGGTAAATTTTCTGTTAGTATTTGTACTTAACCTGTTCTTGAATTTACAGAGGACTGTGGGGCCAGGGAGGATTTTATGCTGTTTGGATTTCTTGAAGCCCAGACAGTATCTCTGACTTTGACCTGGTTACTGGAGATGAGTTTGTTTCTAGAAAATGAAGAAAGCTGTTGGGGAGGAGCTGAAAATTTATTTTACTTCATATTTGTCGAACTTCATTTGCCTTAAACTTTTTGAATCATAGTTTTATCAGGACTTAAATTTTATAGTATGTAACTATCATTGCTTAAGATATTGTTTTTGAGCTCTCATTTTATTTCTTATTAATGGAAAAATATCTGCAAAGTATTTATATAGGGCCTGATACATTGTAAGCACTCTATGACAGTAAATAAGATAAAAGTAGTAACTTTACTCATTTAGTGCATTTGAAGAGCTATTTTGAAGCTTACTTGGGGTACGGATTATCTTAAAAAATAGTGGAAATTCTAACTGTAAACCATACCTGTAGTTATAATGATTTTGCCTGGTCCTACCTTAAGGAATGAATTTTTATACAGTACTTTGAATGATGTTTTTATCTTAAAAATAATATTTAGAGTGACATATACTTTGAAGTGCACTGCTGAAAACACAGTTTTTAAAATCAACAAGGAAAAGATTATGGCTACTTAGCTAATTGTGTTGATTAGGTTGCTAAACTTTTTTCGTGGAACTCACTTTCCTCCCTGTAAATTGAGGCCACTTGGTTAGTTAGGTCCCTTCCCTTTCAGACTCAACATACTGGAGCTCTCAAATTCTTGATTTGAAAAATTATAAATATTTTTGTTTTTTCCTGTTTTAGCTGTTTGTGGAGTTCAGCTTTAACTGATGGATCCAATTAAGCTTTTCTAAAAGCGGGTTGTAGACTTGTATACAAGGTCTTTGCTCAGATGTGAGTTAGAGGCTAGGATAGATAACTTTATTGCAAGTCTTTCTGCTACCCCTAGATTTTTATATGTATGAAGTCAGATTAAAACAAAAAAACAGATTTCCATTAAGGGAAAAAACTAGAGTTAAATGTGTGTTATGGGGCACTAGTTTGTTGGAAGGATGTTCCCTACTCTTGTCTTAAGAGTTTTTCAAGCAGCAGCTTAGGGAGACACCTACTTTTCTTCCACTGGCTGCTGCTGTGGTAACTGAACTGTATTCCCAAATTTAGGCTTCCAAGCACATTAGAAGTAGTTCTGAGTAGACTACTTTTTATCTAATAAGTTCATAAGATTTTGAACTTCTGTTTTTCCATTTAAGGTTTTATGATACTTTTGACTTAAATATCCTTCATAAAAAGAACTAAAATAATACAACAATTCTATGTACTTTAGGTCCTAAAAAGGAGGGAGACTTCTTTATTTTAGAAAGACCCTAGAAAGAGACAGTTGCCCTTAAGATCAGTGTAACATAATCATTTGACACCTTGGTCTAGTGTCTAGATTTTTCCAAATCTTTTAACCATTATTAATTTTGTCCTTTCTATGTTTTTTCTCATCTTTGATTGTTCTTTATATTTCTGCTGCATGAGCTAGTACATGTTCTTTACACATGTAGCTGGGGAATAGTAAGCTTTTTTGTGTGTGTGGATTCTGCTTTCTGGACATGGGTGGCCAGTTTCCCAGGAGATTGTCATACTGATTTTTATTCTTTGTTTTTCTGGCTTGTAGGCTGTAGCCCACTTTCTTTGTTACTGTCATTGCTGCTAACTGTTCACAAAATGCTGACTT